GACTTCAAGCTCTATTACAAAGCTGTCATCATCAAGACAGTATGGTACTGGCACAAAAACAGACACATAGATCAATGGAACAGAATAGAGAGCCCAAATATGGACCTCAACAATATGGTCAACTAATCTTCGACAAAGCAGGAAAGAATGTCCAATGGATAAAAGTAGTAAATTTTAAAGAAAAACTATTCCCTCAATTAAAAGTGGTACATTTAATATTCACAGTATAAAGGTTATATGTTTGCTACTAGTGAAATTTTAATGGTAGCATTTCTTCTGAAAAATCAAGATGTTTAAAAATTCTAGAATATAACTTCTCATATTCAGGTAAAGGTATACTGTCATTTCATGCCATAGTGTTATGACAATGCTGGATGGATTTTTTTTAATCTTTTTTAAAATAACAATAGCTAATACATTTAACATGTGCTAAAGATTATTCTAAATGCTTGATATAGATTTTCCCTTTATAATCCTCACTTTTTAACGTATGCATCTTTATAGCTCCCATTTTGCACTTGAAGAAACTGAGTCAGAAGAGATTAAGCAACTGCTATAATGCAGCACATTAAGTCTCAAAATGTGATTGCAGTAAGAAAATGATTGCTTTTTACTTTTTGATATACATTTCCCAGTGACCCACACAGATAAACAAAAAATGGGAATATGTTAAGATTAGAGGGCTAGAGACTTAGCATTATTAATAGAATTTCACACTTCTGGGGAACAGATTCCACATTTATGGAGTACTGTAATTCAAATTTTACTCAGCCAATGAGATTTTAAAGTAATATCTTGATTTCCAGAAAGAAAGTCATTGCTCCTTATGACATAACTTTAACCACTGCTTTTGCTTTTTACTATTTACTTTGTAAGCTACATATGCCATAAAAATTATTTACCATCAGCAATAAATTATAATACATATAATATTGGGGACAATGTTTACTGCAGAGTTTTTTCACTCTTCTTACTGTAACTAAATAAGAGCATTCCAGCACTTCATTTGCCTTAGGGAAAAAAATACAAACACTTTCTTAAATAAATGCCAGTCATATAACATTTTTTTGGCAATTACAAGTATATATGTATACTTGAGATCCTTTGTTATATCAGTTCTTTGGGTATTTTTCATTGATTCTGGAACCTAAAAATGGTGGAGGGAAAGGGTATTTACTGTTGCAAACAAATTAGCACTGAAAGGAAAAGAATAACTGTATATCTTAAAAGACCAATTAGTGTAGGATTATATTCTGTCAGGGAAGATTAACAGATGTCCAGCATAAATACTTTTCTGAAAGGTTATAAACATTCACTTGGTATCTCTCTTAACAATAAATAGAAATATATTGCATTTAAGATAATAACAGGTTTTAAGTAGTCTAAAAAAATTTACTACATACTTTCCAGCATTAACAAAATAATGCAATTATTTCTTAACTCATAAACATTCAGAAGTTGTAAATTCTAAGTAAATTGCTCTACAAAGTATTCACCTTCCAATCTGACAAATGTTTTCTGTGTTTTCCACAAATATCCTCAAATCATAGGAAAAAAAGATTATTTAAAAAGATGGTCCTTATTTAATTTAAAGCAGTCAATTTTCCCCAGCCTGTCAAGATTTTAATTCAATTTTTGAATTTTTGATATTAACTTATACTGTTATAATCAACCTACCTTATAAAATATAGTATCAGTTTCATGTTCATGAATTTTTAAACTATATATTTTAACAATACCGCCTGGAACAGGACTTGGGTTCCATTTCAGCCATACAAAGTCTGAAGTGTAGTTGATTAGGGTCAAATTTTGAGGAGGTGCTAAAGGCACTGCAGGAAAACACATCATAAAACTTACATTCATAACATTTTTAGCATAAAAATATCACTGTGACTCTAGCTTCCTGAAGACACTAGTTAAGATTTCTAAAATGATGATATTTTAATTTCAGAAATAAATAGCATCAGTAATTATGTTTTTATACTTGGAACTCAGTAGTTGCAAAGTTGTTTTAAACAAACACTTCATTCTGAAGCTTGAACTAAGAAAAAAAATGTTCAGCAAAGTAGATGAATAGTTGTAAGCCTGTTACAAATAGGTAATTGAATATCCTTTCAATTTCCATGCTGTTCCTTAAAAAGAGAGAGCAAGGCTGCAACAGTGAAGAGGTATGGATTCTGGCTTACCTGACTCGTCTGTGTAAAAGAAAAGAGTACTGGAAGGACCAAGTCCTTTTATAGTTCTTGCAGCGGCAAAAAAACTATATAATGTAAATGGTGAAAGCTCTTCCAATATTAGATAATTATCAGAAGTAACGAAAGAATAATTTTCATTTGGTCCTTGTAAAGTTAAATCATAACTTATTATTGCACCATTTGGCTTTACTGGGGGATCCCATGATAAGAGAACTGAGGTAGAGGAAAGGTTTTTAAAAGTGTTGATTATTGGTGAAGTTTCTGGCACTATAAAAGAAAAAAAGAATATTAAATGAAACAAAGTGAATTAGCATTAAAAAGAAGAGGCTTTAATAATGATGGGACTTAATTTTATTAGCAGATAATTATTTTAATTTTAAAAAATATAGAGTTATGTTTATTGAAACGCTAATTATTTGAGAACAAACAGATTCTATATAAGAATGATGCTTTCTATCAAAAAGGAATATAAATAAGAGAACAGAAACAATCTGCTTATAGGCAATAAAAGGGTCCAGCCTACCATCTTCTTCAGTTTTGATGTGTAGCTGGGCAGTATAGGTATCAGAGAATCCCTTTTCTGTTGATGGAGTGATTTTTAATATATAATCAGTATATTTTTCCAGATTATCAAAATACATGCTTCTCTCATATGTAACGAGAAGTGGTCTCACATGATGAGGAGTCTGCTGTAAGCTCAGAGAAACATAGTAGAAGACTAGACCATTTGGTTGAGACGGCGGGCTCCAGCTTACATTTATTGCAGTTGACGAAATGGACTTGTAAGTTAGGTTTCCAACAAACCCTTCAGGTACTATGGTAGGTAACGTGCAAAATATAAAAATTATCAGTCACCCTAAATAAAATTTGAGTAAATTCACAAACTGAGAGTAATTGTTGAAATGGCATCTTTTATACCATCAGCTCTTACATTGTTTCAATGAAGATGTAGTAATACCACCTATTACAAAGTATCATTACAAAATAATTATATTAAAAATGATTCAAAATATAAACCCTGTCATCTTTAGTATGTGTGAGAATTGCTTTATATAATATTCTCTTGTCTTTTCTTTCCTACAACATGGAGATTATCCATGTATTATACATGTATGACTGTGTATATATACTTAGATATTTAAATATTTGATAATGTATATTGTCTAAACAATATTTTTATTTTCTGTCTTCTAAAGATTATCTTTATCATACATATATCACATCTAGGACCTCTCACCTGCAACTGTGCACAGTAAGTGTTTATTATTCATGGTGCTATAATAGTCACTGATGAAACTTCTAGGTTGGTGAAAATATGGGGACAGATCTGCATTTAAAGAATGCCTGAAATGATATTGACCACATACTGCACTAAAACACTTTGCTAAAGACTCTGCAAGAACATATTTTCACATATTTTTTTGTATCTTATTCTGTTGCTCAATGTGCAAACGGTTTAAAAGATTGTTCTAACAAGGAAAGCATTCACTCCTCCTACTTACTGTGTTTGCCAGTTTACAATCTTAAGACAATAAACACAGAATCTTACTATCAGCAGAAGTTTAGGTCAATACCATTTCTTAATAAGAGACTAGTCTTTAAGAAATAAAAGGACACCAGAAACAAGAAGAAATAGGCAATGATTTATGTATCATTGTATTCTTGAACCTGAAACCTAAAAAACATCAAGCCCTTCAATCATTAGAGTTTTCTGAATCCTCAGCACAAACAGGATACTGCTGACGCTGTATACAAGAAACTTCTGGGGTTAAAAAAAGTAAAGATATTCCAGGTATCTGAGTCAAAATCACAATAAGAACAAAGATGCTGTATAGAGCCCTATATGGACTCAAAGGCTGAAATGGAAGTTGCTAGATTACAAAAAAAAAAAGTATTTAAAGCAGAGGAACAAGTATATTAAGTATTGGAAAATCCATCCATGTATACAACAGTATTTTTCATGCTTATAACTGGATGGCTGTGACATCCTTTGAAGAAATAAAAGTGACAGGTTTTCATGAATGGTAGCAGTTTTAATGAATAGAAAAGGCTGTTATTATTGTAATAGTTTTACAGCAACATTAAATACATTTTCAAACTTCTATAGTAGTTAAATGTGCCTAAATAAATTACAGATTTTACTAGCAATATATACAAATAGAAAAAAGGTTCTGAAATAAAGTTTTAAATTAATCCTATTAAAGATTAATAAATGCTTTTTGTTTACATACTGTCTTGATCTGTGTATACTTGAACTATGTCACTGCTTTTATTCCCATCTCCAACTGAAGTACTTGCTGTTACCCAAAATGTATAGTAGCTGAATATTGCCAGTTTCTCTATTATTGCAGATACGGTCATATTGTCAAAGTCATTGGTTACTTCATGGAGTGTAAAATTCTGAAAAATAAACATATTGTTTTAATTGTTCAGAATATAGTTTTAGTACACATGCACATCTCAAAATAATTATTATCCATGAATTGGTTGTCTCATTACTTTAATATGCCAATTTGAGAAAAATCAACATAGAAAATTTTAGTGCAATAATTAAACTGGAAATATGTTGTACTAAAAGAGGAATGGATGGTAGTAGTTTTTATCATAAAACCAACATACAGAATAGCAAAGAGCAGAAATTTCCAGCTTAAGGAGAACGTTCAGCAGCCAACTGAAAATGCTACAACTGTACAGTGTCAGTTTTCCTTATAAAACATTCAAGTATTTTTCAAAACTCTGACACATATTTTTGAACAAGTTTAGGATTATTATAAAAGCTTTTATTTTTTTCTTCCTGCTAGTGATGAAGAAATTATGAAAGTATTCACCTCTTTCTCTCAACTCAAATAGTTATTATTCATCCTTAATGAGGCTTTTTTTTTTCTTTAATCATGGGGAGAGGTAGGAAGTCCATTAGATGCATTTTCTTTCTTATAAGCAGAGTAAGAGCAATTTTAAAATTCTTTTGCCTGACTCCTAGTTATATTTGTCCTAAGGCATTTTTTGATGATTAGGGAATTTATTTATACAATCATTTCTTTTCTGACCATATTTTAAACACAAAACACATAGTTAAAACCAATTATAAAATAAAGGAAAATAGACTTAAAAATTTTGTAGCCAATTAGTATGAATAAGTCTTAATAATAATGTGCATCTACACCAAGAAAGCTCAATCATTCCAATCCATACAAAGCTTTGAGCTTCCTATAGATCTAAATTCAATTCTAGCAGAGTAACCCTCAATAAACCATCTCAACTCAAAGCTTTTCCTTCCTCATGCATAAAATAGGAATAATTATTTCTCCCTCACAGAGAGATTTTGAGGATTAGATGATATGGAAGCACATAAAAAAATATCATATCTGGTACACAATTAAAAGCACAATAAATGATAATTAGTTAATTTAAATGAAAAACATAGGGTAATCTGGGGCACTTGGGTGGCTCAGTCAGTTAAACATCCAACTCTTTTTTTTAATTTCTTTTATTTATTTGGTACAGAGGGAGGAAAGAGAGAGAGGCAGAGGGAGAGGGAGAGGCAGACTCCCCACCTAGCAGGGAGCCTGAGTTGGGACTCAATTCCAGGACCCTGGGATCATGACCTGAGCCGAAGGCAGACGCCTAGCTGACTGAGCCACCCAGGCACCCCAAGCATCCGACTCTTGATTTTGGCTGGGGTCATGATCTCATTGTCCTGGAATGAGCCCCCACGTTGGGCTCTATGCTCAGCGGGGAGTCTGCTTGAGATTCTCTCTCTCCCTCCCTCTCTCAGTGCCCCTCCCCCTGCTCTCTCACACACACACTCTCTCTCTCTCAAATAAATAAATAATCTAAATGAAAAACTAGGGTAGTCAATTTGACTAAAGTTTATAGTTAGGATGGTTCTATAATGTATCAAAAAATTAAATTCAGCAAAGTTTTGTGGTTCTTTTGCCAGTATTTGGTGGAGAAGGGAGGGAAGAATGAGTGTAATAAAAGATCTACCTCAATTTTGTGGTTGCTTATTTAGGAACAGATAAGTTAAAACAATATAACAATTTCACACAAAATATGATCTGTAAACTTCAATATCTTTTAACATATCTATTTGACACATGGAATAACTGGCTTACATGAAGTAGCTCTTAAAAATATTAATGTAATTAATTAGTCAGCCATTTAAAGATAAGGAAATCTTGCCATTTGCAACAGCAAACATGAACCTTGAAGGCATAATGCTGAATGAAATATGTCCAACAGAGAAAGACAAATACCATATGATCCCACTCATATGTGGAATCTAAAACAAACAAAAAACCAAAACCCTGAACTCACAGATACAGAGAACAGATTGGTGGTTGCCAGAGTTGCAGGGTGGGAGGGGGTGGCAAAATGGGTGAAGGTGATCAAAAGGTACAGACTTCCAGTTATAAAATAAGTAAGTCACGAGTATGTAATGAAAAGTATATTAATATAGCTTTTTGGTATAAATTTTAATTTTTCTTTGTTATAGAATTTATTCTGATTACCTGTCATAAATTACCTATTGATTACCAATAATAAATTACCTATTGATTATTCAGAAATGAATTATTCTGAAGCATCCAGAAGTCATTCCTGATGAATATGTGACTTAGCATGCCTAGACATGTAAAAAATTTGGAATTAGATCAATTATGCAGATGATCATTTCAGTTATTTTCTTTGTTTTTGGAAAATACTGTCTTTCAGCTCAAATTATTGAATTAAGACTTGTTACTTTGTATATATAAAAGCAGCCAGAAGTTATATAGTGAAAGCTTCCAAATTTGATGAATCCACCAGTACAGTATTCATTTAGCATTGTGTTAGTATAACAAGACACTATGTCAGGCACAGGAGGAGATATGACATAAGTGGGTAAAAGTGAAAATGTGGAAGAGTTAATACACTCTACTAAACACAATGTGCAGCAAGCAAAGGAAAAACAAATGGTAGCAGAGAGATTAAATTCCCCAAGGTAAGAAGGAAAAATCACTTCACCACAAACTCAAATGCTCCATCATTATAACTAAGTACCAAAAATAATGTTGGTCTATTACAATAATTTTATGTTCTTTCAACTAAAAGTATTTATTGAGCACTAAACCTATGTATGATACAGTACCAGAGGACTTTGGGGGATGGAAAGATACGTGTCACATGACTCTTCTTCAAGTTATTTGCTATGGCATAGGAACTAAGACAAGTAAACAGATACCAGGAATGAAAAGCAGAATAGGATGTACTGTGCATGAAATATTCTACCAAGTTCTGTGGGAAAGAGAAGGAGGAAGAAAAAAGCGATACACTTATTTGGCTGTATAATTTTCATTTCGAGGATTTCTTCTATTCTGCCAACCCAAAATAGAAAATTAGGAAGTGAAGATGCTGTATTTAACACTAACTAGAGGAACAAATTAAAGCACGGATGAACTTCAAGCAATATGAGAAATGTTTTCACATCATTAGCCTGTGCCTTGCAGCTGTCACACTTAAAAGCATTCTTAAGATTATTTAATAAAAGATTACATTTTCTAAGATAGATGAATTATAAATGGGATGGTATCATATACCCAGGTTTGAGTAAATAGGCTCATAAGATCATGTTGAAACTATAGTTAGATGTTTACACTTCATTATTTAGATGTGGACAAAGAGAACCAAAATAGAATTTTGTATATAGGTCATAAAGTAAATTGTGCAGAGGCAAAACCTTTGCTAAGATTTAGAACTACTGACACCACTTCGCAATATTTTTGTTAAATGTATGAAAGAAGAAAAATCTGCATTTTGAATGGCCTCTGTGACATAATGACACATTGTTAAATTTGTAAACAACATTGTGTTAAAAATAATAATAAATTGCACACTAATCCCATTTCTTTTCTCCAAATAGGGTAGAACAAGAAGGAATAGCAAAAATTGCTTAATGTACATAGAAGCGGGGAAAAGGGATCCTCTTTTCTTCTGCTCTTAAGGTATTTGTTTAAAAAGTCTACATCTATAACTATATATATATATATACACATATATATGTATATCTTCATGTTTGTATAAAGTCGTTTTCCTTTTGGCATGAAGTTTTAAGTAGTCACACTATACAACCCCTACCTTTAGAGGGCCTTGAGCAGAATATAAAAACCAAACCAACCTTGACTTTCTCTTATTCACTGCTAGGTTAGTCCTGAGATGGCTGGTAAAATTCTGCTCTGACACCACTGATCAGCCTAAACTGCATCATAGATACACTAAAGCAAACAATACAATAAAGCATGCTTTATTTCCGGAGATTGTAAATTGTAGTATTTCTCTGAAGTTAGTTTTTTTCCAAATTATATTCCAACTCTCTCCATTCCTGATTCAATCACAACCATTCCTAATTTTTGCCTTTATTAGAGTTCTATAAAATATTTAGTTTGGATAAATAGAGGATTTCTATTGAGTAAATTGAAAATACTTCTCTACATGAAATGCATTTTAGCTATTTTCATAACCATCATTCACATCAGAAAACTGTGATCCTAAAGCCCTGTATACTTCAAGTTAAATAACCACATTACTAGTGGTTTTATTACATCTAATACTAAATAATAATAACCCCTCCTGCTAGCAGTTGAAAATTTTTTAAACTGAAAAAAAAAATACACAAACACATCTAAACTTGAAAACTATTTATATTGTATACAAACAAAAGGGAAAAATTTAGCTAAAGAAATAACCGAGGGTAAATTAAACCATCAACTCTTCAGAGAACAGTTCTTGGAGAAGTAGAATTAAGGGCCATATTTATACATAGAATTTTAAATAGGTGGCAGCTTCATTGTTAGCAATATATTTGAAATGTGGGAGCATGCATAGCTAGATTAAAATGTATCTGACGTTTCTCATCACATTTTTTCAATGTCAATGGGCGTTTTATAAAATGTCTATGCATAATTATCAGTGTAAGATAAGTGATTTTTCTACCAGGCCAAGTCTATATCATCATCAATAAAACTGAAGGATATAAATAAAGAACTAGAAGAAAACTCACGTCTTACCTGCACAAAAGTACCTGAAGTATTTTTGTAATAAACAGAATAATATTGTATAATCCCATTAGGTTTTGAAGGAGGCATCCAAAAGAGCATTATTGATGAAGAACTGAGATTTGCATAATGAACATCTTTGGGAGGATCACTTGGTGCTATAAAAAACACAATTGAACAGAAAACTGTACTTGTGGCTCCAAATAACGTCTGAAATGTTCTAAATTTTACCTGTCTTTGATAAGTGATGACCGTTTTTAAAAAAAAAAAAAAAATTAGAAGTCAGAAATGAAATCCATAGACTCATTGGGCCATCCCTCTCACACTATATCATAGCAACATCCAAGCAGAGGACTGTTAGATTTCTTACTGGTAAAACACAATCCCAGCTCTAAAACATGCCTACTGCCCTGTATTTGAAAAAAAAACAAAACAAAACATTATAACAAGTCTCCAATATAAAACACATAATACGAAATTCTAATTTAACTTAGAATCTTGAAATCTGATAATAGAGAACAAAGGGAGAGAGCTGACTTCATGCATTTTACTTTGTTTCATTTAACAAATACATAAAATGCTTACTAACTGTCAAGTTCTGTACTGAGTGCATTTACAAATATAAACTCATTTAATCCTCATAAGGACCCTGTAAATTAGGTATGTATCGTTTCCATTAATACAGACAGGAAACTGAGGCACAGAGAGATTAGCTTTCCCAACATCACACAGCTAGGAAATGACCAAAAAGCCATTTTGCCTCCAAAACGATGACAGATATTAAGCTATTTAATAATACATTTCAATATTTAATGCTTATTTTTTCTGAGTAGGATCTTCTTTTACTTGGCCTACATCCAAAAGAACTCACCTCCCTCAGGTGTTCGAAAGTTAATGATACTGCTTCTCATTTTCCCATCACCAAACCTGGTGCTAGCTGTTACATAAGCATTATATTCAACATCATAGTCCAAATCTGAGAACTCTAATGATGTTTCAGTTACATTAATAGCTTTTAATGATGATCTATCCCTGGGAGAAAAAAAAGAAATTATCTGTATAATTGACTATTAAACATTACATATACATTTTGAGCACAAGCACATTAAAAATAAGCAACATTGATGCACAGAAATATCTTAATCCAGATTAACAGGATAAAGAAGCCACTTACTCTGAAATGCTGAAATGCTGAAAAGAGTGAAATTCAAAATAATTCAATAAATAAATTTCTTTTGTTTTCAAGTATATTTAGTGATTCAATCAACATTAATAAGATGTTCATATTAGAATTTACCTGGACTGATTTCAATAGAGCTCTAGGAATACTGTGTAGTCCAAATAATTACACTACTCCTTTTCATACCCATGTTTTAGTTTGTTCAAATATTTGTTCTTTTTAAGTGTTGGCAACATCTTATTTATACTCTTTATTTGTCAAATTCACTTTTCATATATTGTACAAAAGTAATATTTACCTTAGACCAATTCAAAAAATAGTAAATATTTGAATAGTAGTATCATCTAAAATAGTGAGCCTATGGGTTATCTTTCATTTATTAATTATATTAATTACCCTTTAATTATTAATTATTAATTTATAATAAATTATGTGTTAACTGGAAACAAACTGAAAATAATGTATGTATAATATACAAGAAAGAAAAAGCTCATGTCTTTCATCCAATTAAATCTTAGAAGTATTTAAAATGTAACTCCAGAAAAGAAAACACAAATAAATATTGATTAAAAACTCTCCAAGTAAGTACTGAAATCACAAGGGGAAAAAGAAAATCTAAAGAACAAAATGTTGCTAAGTAATATAAGACTACAATTATTTTATTTCAGTCATGCTCGTAGAGTTTCTATAGTTTTAAATTAAGTATAGATTAGAATCTAAATTAAAGAATGAACATGTATATAGGGGTACTGAAAACTGCATTTAAAAAGAAATTTAGGGGCACCTGGGTGGCTCAGTCAGTTAAGTGTCTGACTCTTGATTTCGACTCAGGTCATCCTTTCAGGGGCCTGGGATCCAGCCCTGCGTCAGGCTCTGTGCTCCGTGGAGAGTCTGCTTGAGATTTTCTCTCTCCTTCTGTCCCTCCCCCACCTCTCTCTCAAATAAATAAATCTTTCAAAAAAAAAGAAGTTTAGATTTTTAAGAGCAATAAAATTGATTATGAAAGAATGTAAGTAAGGGAATATGATCAACATCACAGAAAAAGTATCTCTCGTGTAATCTCATTTTTCCTCTGTATCACAAAGCACCCAAGAAGTAAATGGATATTTCCTCTGGATATAAAATGCTCTCTCTTTGCCATTGAAATAATTAAGAGTATCCACAAAGACAGACATTTCAGGCATGGTTTTACTATTACAAAAGTGTCAATCCACTCCAAATATTAAGTACGGTTATCTGAAAAGTAGTTGGAAAGCTTACCATAGTGAGAAAAATATGGATTCAGAGTATGTGATTGGAGACAGGCAGGATTAGCAAGGCTATTCAGCAATTTGAAACAGTTCCATCAGACAGTGTCTCTCAGAAGCAGTAGGGACTTCACTGAGACCCAGGAGGGGGCTTTTAGAACTTAATGCTGTGGCTGTTAGTCTCAGAGAAAGATGCCTTGTCATAGAAACTTTACCCAATTCCATACTCCTGTCATTGGTCACAGGTCATTAGAACACTGCAGTATGGTTAATCCAATTCAGATCTCCAAAGCTATGAAATTAGCTAAAGGAATCTAATTGCATTTTATCTATTATTAAAATTCCTTGTCAAGCATATTTTTTAATGCTATGTGCTGCCTTGCATCACTACCTTCTTGCCCTGACCTTCACAACAAAGTAATGCAGATGACTATGCCTACAAGAAGAAAAACCCTGATCATGTTCCATAAATAATGTAGAATGGAGGCAATTACCTGGAAAAGGCAGGGCAAAAGTAAATTCTGTCTCACATATCCAGATATGTTGGTAAGAAGAAGATAGTCTTTATAAATTGTCTGAATAACAAAACCAATAATCCACCTCAGCATATACAGATATAGTTTCGACATCTATACTGGTTTACCCTGAGACAAAATAGGACTAACAAAATTTTTCAGATACTGATATGTCTTGCTGTTTCAGGGTTTTTGTTTTTCTTTTGGAGCTTAGGATTGTTGCTGATATTTTAAAGACTAAGGTAAAAAATATCTGAGCATCAGTAAACTTCAACTGAAATTTCAATTTCTGATCCAAATTCAGAACATAGATTAAGAGACAGTTTGCTTGGGTGCGTGGGTGGCTCAGTTGGTTAAGCGACTGCCTTCGGCTCAGGTCATGATCCTGGAGTCCTGGGATCGAGTCCCGCATCGGGCTCCCTGCTCAGCAGGGAGTCTGCTTCTCCCTCTGACCCTCTTCCCTCTCGTGCTCTCTATCTCTCATTCTCTCTCTCTCAAATAAATAAATAAAATCTTTAAAAAAAAAAAAAGAGAGAGAGTTTGCTCTATAACTGAGAATTTGGAAGTAAAAATGAGAGAGAAGTGCTGCTGTCCCTGAGGATCTGACTCCATCCTCCTTGCTCTTATGCAGTTGCCAGATTGGAGGAAAGACCCATGAACCTCTGGGCTGACGCCTGAGCTCTCTGCACCCCAAGGAGGAGTCTCAGTGAGCAGCCCTGCAGTTCAGATGGGTCACACTCCGTCCCGTGCATGAGAAACCCAGGTTTGACACGGCCATAATCTTTTGGTTCTAACTGGCTTAAAGATCTCTGTTTTATTCTTATTAGTTTAAAAATATTATAATAGGAATATTAGGTGTTCCATTCGAGTGTTTTATTTCCACTTATAAAAGTATATGTTCTTCTATATCTTGATTGTTTTTTGCTTATATGATCTATGTGATAATAACAATGATCTATACCATTATTTTCCCTAATTTGGATATATCATAGTTATTCAGCCATTCTTCTATAAAATTAACATTTAGGTTGCTTTCTCTCTTTCTATTTTAGTTACTAACCATGATGCAGTAATCACTCTTACACAAATGCCTTTTCATAATGGCACCTGGATTTCTATAGGTTAAATTCCCAGTAGTGTAATCATTGAATCAAATGTTTTTTTTAAACTCTTATTATTACTGTTCCAAAATTGTTTCCTTTCCAAACTATGAGTGATTATAATTTAGAGCCACAACAACGTGTGAGAGCACATCTTTCAGCAAACTCTTATTACTAGTCTGGATATTAATCTTCTTAATTACTGCAAACTTGACCAAACAAAAATCTATTTAATCTGTACATCCCTAACCATTTGTGAGACAGAATATCTTTTCATATGTATATTGGTCATTTGTGGTCCTCTTTTCTTTTTTGCATAACACATTTCCTTTTCTATATTTTACTGTAATGTTTTAAATGGAAAACAATATATATTAGCATTAGAAAGGCATTGTTCTTCCAACTAGTGCTCCAAACAAAGGACAGATACCTCCCCAGCCCCTCTGAATTTAGAAATGATATGTATACAATCAACATTTGACAAAATTTATTGAACATCTACTTTATTCAGGAACTATGTTAGAAATAAATATGAGTAAGATTTAGGCCCTGTCTTCAAAATAGACAAAATAGTAAATAATTATAAAACAATTAATTAATAACAATGGGATCCCTTTAAGGACAAGGACAAAACTTCTCCCCATCCCGCCCCACCAGTGGCTAACAGCAAAGAAAAGGAGATGAGCAAAAAAATTAAATCAGTAAAAAAATAAATAAATCTGTAAAATTTGACATTGGTAACATCTAGAAAAGGAGACTAAAGCATAGCTCCCAAAGATGTAGGAAATTGTTGACTAGAAAGTTAGTTTGTAAGGTTTGCGAGCAGAATAGGGAGCTGAGTGTGGTGGAGAGGGAAAGAATAGAGGCCTCCCTGACAAAACAGGTCTAAGTCTTACATATCCAAAAGTATAAACTGTGTAGAAATGGAAGGAATATAAATGCCAACAATACTTGATCTCTAAAATAGATAACTTTCAACATCAGGCAAACCTCCTAGTCAGTGTAAATTTTCAAACTAAAAAAAAACTTGAGGGGAGTCCTCAGTGCCTTTGTTTTACTGATTTAATTCTAGAAACTTACTAGAACATTTTAAAAGCTTTCTTGAATTTGAGACATGAAAAGAATTTGAATGACCTTGGAACTATTCTGAATAAATATAGGATGCAGTTTTTCTGTCTATAGTCATTGGTAACACCAAGAAAATGTCTTGGGATGGGATTAATGGAGTCTTTAAAATGAAGTTATTTCCTCATTATGATTTTTTTTCAAAAAACAGCACATTTTGACGTCTAGGCATAAAGGAAATTCTAGAGTAGAAGAGCAGTTTCTTTGGTCTGGTTTAGAACTTTCTTTGCTCATCTCTTATCGCATCAAGATCATGTTAAGCAACAACTGCCAGTGAAGGAATCTTGCGTACCAAAACCACCTGGGAAGACTGAAACAAATTCCATTTCCCTAAGCATGAACATGAATGGTTTTCTACACATGATTTGAGACCCTTTGAAAGGTCATGGTCTTAATTCTAAATTTTATCATTTGGTATTTTTTTCCATGTGGGTAATCTAACCAAATGACATATCCATCCTTGTCCATTCCTATGTATTTATTTTCAAAGCTATAATCTGCTGTTATATAAATATTCTAGATTAAATATTTTACTCACTAAATAACACTTCCAATAATAATTTCAGCATCCATTTACTTGACTCTGTCAAATATTCTCTTCCTCTATGAACCAGTGATTTTCACTAATTTTCCCAGTATAAGGAACCTGCTCTTCTATGTTGCACCTTACTCTAGAACAACTACCCTGCATAGCTGAGTAGGTCTAATAGACTCACAATTATGTATTAAACAACCCCAAACTAGTAAGACATAAATAGCTGCACTGTCTATGATCCTAAAGCTCTTCTAGAGTTTCAGAGAAAGTCTGAGTGAAAGCAGGGTATTTATTTGTTGTCGCTGTTTTCTTATTGTCATCATTTGGTTG